ATGATGATGATAATGATAATGATGATAACGATAATGATGATAATAGGTCTCACCACTGTGGTCCGGGTTCAACCCCGGCTCAGACTGGATCATATGTGAGTTGAGTTTGTTTGATGTGTTGTTCTCTCCCTTGCCACGAGGGTTTTCTCCGGGATCTCGTGTCTCCTCCCTCGTAAAAAGTAACACGTGAGTTGAGTGTTGTTTGTTGTAAATATAGAATGTAGTGGTAGTGCGTGTGGAGGGAACCTCACGGAAGAGCCCCGCATGGGGAGTGGTGGTTGTAAAATATATATATTTTAAATGATAATGATAATGGTGATAATAATGATGATGATTATGGCGATAGATGATAATGATACATGATATAATGATGGTGCTGATGATAATGGTAAGAATGGTGAGATGATGATGTTGATGAGAATGAATGAAGGATGATGTTGATGGTAGTGATGATACATGATGACAATGATGGTAATGTGGACGATAATAGGAGTGTCTATTGCAAGCATAATGCCAAAGGTGTTGATTATAACTATGAACACATTTCGCTCTCTCATAACCATATCATGATCGTGTTGGATAGCGACTGACTAGTCTAGTGTTCACGTGGAAACATAAAAGCGTTTTCACATGTATGAGAGGCTAGTTAGTCGTGAGTTAGTCCAGAACAGTTATTGAAATTGGTCGCCATATTTCGATTCGGTGTACGTGAAATGACACTATTATTCGTTATATTTTAAGTAACGCAGCCGAGTGGTTTTAGATCCGATAAAACATGATCTGCGAGTTTATATTAAACGGCTTAAAAAACTCATGATGTATGTTCTCATATTGTACTGAATTCTTTACGAAATGAACCAAGTTTGATAGAGAAAATCCAAGTTRAAGTTTATGCAAATGAATGCAGACGAATCTATATCAGATATAAAAACTCCTTCGTGGTCATGATTTCTATTGTGTTTGCTTCATGAATTATTAATGAGTTTTTTAAGAGGTTTATAGTAATAGTCATGGATCATGTCATTTGCTTGTCCTAGGGTTCTCCCTGGAGTAACGAAATCTCTCTCGCAATTCTAAACTTCCACGAGAGTGGAGTAATGGAAGAACTGGAGACGACATGGATTGACGGTACGAAATGTGAAGAGGAAAGCACATCACCAGCTACTCTTGGTCTTAGCCACATGCTAGGTAAGATACAGGAACAAAAACAACGGTAGTGAACAAAGTATATGGCTTAAAAAAAAAAGGAAAAAAAGGAAAAAGAAAAGAAAAGAAAAAGAAAAGAACTTAATTCCACGGACAAAAAAAAAAAAAAAAAAAAAACAATTCAACTTTGCCATACCCCCGAGACATCCGCAGAGCTGAGGCGTCGTATGGACTTCGGACCTGACGGCGATTAAATCCTTCTGCCCTTGGGTGTACGTATTACGCAAGAAA